CTACAATGCACTTTTTCAATTTTGGGCGCACTGAATTTGGTGATGGTATTGTTTGGTGAATGAAGATGCATGAAAATTGGAGCGAAAACCCTTGGGAATAACTTTAGAATGAAGGCAACGACCGATGAAGTTTATGTGGCTACAAAACCTAGTTTTGGCGAAAGTGAGAATGGCTAAACGGAATCCTAGATCTTTACTAATAGGGGGAAAAGGGAAAAGATAACTTACGATTTCCTGGCGTAGCTCCTTTGTGAGTTTCTTGAGGCTCGGCATTGTCCGTTGTTCTGAATGCTGTGGATAGAAAAATGCTAAGACAAAAGTTAGTAGTCACAGCAATCAAAATACAAATGAATAAAGGCTGATAGTTTCGAAAGAAACTGTTTGGGGCTGCGTCGGTGGGAGTAACGAAATAATTTGGATGTATCAACAAAGTTGAAATGGTAAACTGGCCACCGTAACGATTTCAAAAGCTGATGTTTCGAGCGTTAGCCCTTCGTCGGAGCGAATAGAGGAATTGTGGGTTGTCTGTGCTTTTTAAAGGCAGAAAATGGAGCTACGTTATTGGTGAAGTAGAAAGATTTGTGCGCACCGTAAAAAAGGTAATAAAGACAGCAAGGTTGGAGCACAAGAGCTACAAGCAAGAATTAAGCAGAATGCTGAGGAACTATCGCGCCACGCCCTCCTCAGACACTGCTATCGGCCAGCCCGACCAAGCAGCGGCAAAGGCTAAAATGAAGGAGCGCGCGGACAACAAGCGGTACGTCAAGCCATCGGCTATCAAAGAAGGCGACATTGTACTGGTCAAGAGAGACGAGACAAAGAAGAAAGGTGACACTCCGCATAACCCAATACCGCGGACTGTCATCGAGACCAAAGGGTCCATGGTCACGGCAGAAAATGCAGGAGGCGTCCCTATCACGAGGAATCCTTCATTTTCAAGAGCGTGCCCGACTTCAAGACCCCCAGTGAAGGGCAAGAGAACTCCTACGGTGACGGTCCTCCGTTGTAGCTCAATGGTGCACCTGCAAGACGCTACCCCCGGCGTGCGCGAACTCGTCCAGCCAAAGCTTGCTAACTATGTTCTTGACCGACACTCGTCTATATGAGAACTCTTTTATAAGGATTTTAGGGCTTTAGGACCCGAACACTTTCTGTGACTCTTTTTCTGTATTCAGTTATGTTTATTTTTGGACATATTGTGTTCGTTGTTTGATTCCAAAGAGGAGAGGGTTGTAATGTCGTTACTATGTACGTATATGGTATCGCCACCATATATGGCATTATGTTGTTTTGGTTAGACTAGGGTTGAGAGATAGAGCACGAGGTTGTGAGATTCGGGTCGTTGTAGCAAGAGCGGTTATTCGAATAAAAGAATCTTTACACATTCAAGAATATTTACTTCTGGAAAACCCCTCATGTGCACAGGTGAAGGCACTCGTTCATCATAAAGAGAGATGCAAATATTTAGCGAGGCGGCGTTCGATGGTTGTCGTTGATGAACTCGGCAATTTGTGGAACTGTGAAACTCAGGCCGATCAGTGACTGTAGTTGATCTTGCGAAATGTCATATGATGGGCGACTTCGAATACTAGTGTTGACTCTACGAGTTCTCGCTGACGTTGGGCTTAAGTTTTTGAGAATGTTTCTTGCTGAGGAAATGTTTCGATACACATCATCTGGCCAACTTATCAGAGAATCCAAACAATTAACAGCGTTTAAGATTTGATCTATGTTCTCTGGTGCTTCATCGGCATCCAACGTTTCTACGGGGTTTGTTAAACTATGAAAAACATTTTAACGGCTATTGACAGCATCCTCGCCGCATTCACAAGGTCGTCCACCATGTTGACGGAAGGGTGAAAGTAACGCAGCATTTACAAAAGTAAAGAGATCATTTAAGGAAATTCTTAGCACCATTTGGGGAAAAAAGCCTCATATCATTTAAAGTTGGGGCAGCGTTTAGGAAACGATAGGCACCATTTATGAAAACAACTGTCACCATTTTAAAAGCATTTACAATACCATAGGCTCCATTTATAAAATCGAGGCACCATATAATAGATGTGTAAGCGTCATTTACGAAAATGCAAGTACCATTTACGAAAAAAATTGGCGGGAATGGCACCTCATACAATTAACGACCATTCACGTAACAGAGATCGGGCTAAGCGCAAGCCATTCGTAGAGCGCTTGGCTCTTAAGCTTTCTTCACCTGTGTGCTCTCACAGATCAGTCTGACGCTTTGAGGGTCTAGGGATAGTTCATCTATGGTTAACTACTGTAAAACAAACTTCTTACAACGAAAATATCCCTTTATTAATAAAGATATAGTTTCTTTAATGTTGTTGTCAATTGTAAGCTTTTTTTATACAATCTTGCGTAACTCCACTTTGATAAATCTTAATAATTTTTTTCTCTTTGACTATTTGGTTCAATTTTCTCATAAACTGTAATTAACATTTCACGAATGACATTGCTTACACGTAATATATATTTGCGCAAAACGTAATTCATTGTACCACAAGAAAAGGAGGACTTCAACTGTGTAAGGTAAGAATTAGTCGCTAAAAGAATGTTACATGAAATGTGGACAACAACGGCATAAAAAATGTTCAGCAAATACGTTTTAGTAAAAGAACAGATTGCATGAAAGTAAGCATATCTTGTGCCAATTTGTAGCTTTTCAAACGTTCCTGTTTAAGTTGTGGCTATAAGTAACTATTTATTACTATGTTTCATTTCAAAAGAATCACGTTGTACGCAATGCAACAATTTGACAGATGTAACAAAATCAGCTGATTAACTCTGAGGGCTCCTAGTAAGTCTCACCACTCAGTGGAATGATTTATAGATGCAATCCTGTCCATACCCTCAAATGCTCTCTGGTGACTGATTACTGTTGATGGACTTATATAATGTCGCAACAAGAAAAATTCTTTACGTTGACAGTCTACAGAAAATCCGAAATGAAATGTACTTTATTCTTATATTCACCACCGCAGCTTCACCAATTTTTCATTCTATTCTTGAAAGGATCAGATAGATATAATTTGGCTTTGGGTTTCTTTCCTAAAAGGACCGTTGCTTAGGAACAGAGCACAATGTTCCCTGTGTCGCTACCAATCAAAAGCAGCCTGTTCAGTGGTAGGTAACCAAGGCATGTGATATTGCCGCGGAACACATCGCTGCTCAGCTTGTGGCTAATGTAAAGGTCCTGTGATAAGAGCACAGAGAAAAAAACCGCGTCAGGCTAAATAAAATCATTGCAACCTTGTGTCCACAGGTCTTTCTGTCATTTACAATGACAGAGAAGCCCCTGGGGACGAGATTGCGAACAGGGTAAAAAGGATGTTACAAGGAACAAGGTTAGTTAAGGGTCAGTCTGTCAATAAAATATTATGTACTTATTGACTGAATGAAAAGGTCCGGCAGCAAAATCTTAGTGTCAACGTATGTTTTATGTAGTAATAAGCCAAGTGTCCTTTCGTATTTCCATTAAGTGAATTGCAAAATAGCGACCTTGAATTAACGCTGGCTTTGCAGCCTTACATTCCAAGCTGACAGGAATTACCATGGTATAGAGGTTTTGCACAGCAGCCATGTTGGATGGCAGGAACAATGAAAACAGTTTGCATAAGAAAGAAAAATTGTTCGCATGGGTAAAATGATCTATTGTTCCTGCCATCCAACATGGCTGCTGTGCAAAACCTCTATAGACTTTAACTGGATTGTAAAAAACAGGAAAGAGGTACTCAGCCACCGATTAAGACATCCTTATGGTGACATACATACACGTGCATCACAACTACAGCACAATATTTTTCAATCTTCTTTATGAAATGTTGACTTGAACTGGGCTGATCTAGACTAAACCGAGAAGCGATAAGGACAAAGACCAGATGAAAATAAAACTGCTAAAAAAGCTTTACCTCAGAATGATCCTCCGGTAAGCTGTGTACACCAATTCTACCGCCAACAGTAGCTGAAATCAATTGATCCCCCCACACCAGAAGAGAAGGGAGAGGATCGCTAGGACCTGTCAGATAATGAGTAATGATAATTTTTTTGCGATCGTTAATCAATTACATTTACGTTGAATGATTTTGGAAAGACCGAGGTTGTGAGTTTACCATTCACAACAAGTGAAACGAAAACAAAGGAAAGAAAGCTTAGTTAAGCGATTCGATATCAAATTTAGTGCAGGGTACCTCCTAATATTTTCTTTAAATAATCTGAAAAGAAATTATCCCTTTCTGATTGAGCGTTGTAAACCCAAACACAAAGTAATCACAACAACCAATGTTTATGGAAGATGTCAGGAGGAACATGTGAGAACTCGCAGTAAAAAAACAAAAGCAAACTGCTTGAAGTGTGCGAAAACACGAGTGACCACGATCACATGATCACGATTAGTTTTAATTTACAATTTGTTGGTTGAGAGAGAAGCACGTGTTTTGCGTGCGTACTCTATCCCAAGCCTCTAGCAGATTCACTGGATATTTTGTTAAAGAACGGAGATGCTGCGTGAGATGTCCATGTAAGAAAAATACAAGGAACAGGATTTGTCATTTTTAAGTTCTCGTAGAAGATAAGACTTAGGAGGGGTTACGTCTGGAATCAGGCGGTCTTCAAGGGAACTCAACCCTCTCATACTTCTCTTCACGGGAATTTGATTGTCTTTTACTTCTCTTTAATAATCATTTGAAAGAGAGAGAGAAAGAAAGAGGCGTTACAAGGTTATTGAATTCAGTGCCGTTCACCACTGAACTGGGTAGAAGCGAGCTAAGGCAACTAACACTTCGTACTAGAAATAATTAAAGTATTACCACTGAATTCAGTGAGGTGAGCGGGGCGGACGTGAGCGGACGTGTTGACGTGTTGTCCGCAATTTTTTAACTTTTTTTAAACTCTTTTATCTTTATATCCTCGCTAATGCCTCTTTAAAAGTATATTGTACTAAGGAAATGTGGACGAAGGTAGGATTTATCCTCTGCTGATTATTCCTGGCAAGAGAAGCAAGGTAAAACTATCGAAATATCTTCAAAGGCCACCAGCCATGTCAAGTAAGGCGAGAAAGCTGAAAGTAAAATGGACAGAACAAATAAACAAACACGTTTTGAAGTGCAAGAAAAAGGTGCTGGAGCTTGTTTCTTCGGAGAATCCTCCTTGCAATGAGAGTGGAAGGAAGAGAGGAAATATTGGCGTCATCAAAGAGTTGTGGGATGATATGGGATACAAGAACTTACATTTGAAGAGCCAAAACTTACGGGACCAGGCTGCATAGCTTTCATTACTATCGTGCTAAAATAAAGGCTGTCTGTCTGTCTGTCTTTCGAGGCTAGAGAAAATAAGAGATAATGGAACGGATCTAACCATCAAAGAGAGAAGAGTGAAGGATTTGGGACATCATATTTACAAGTGAATATTCTAGTAATGAAAATATTCAAAATGAAAGTCAAACAACCAAAACGATAGAGAAAATGGAAATGCTTAAATCTGCAGAAGGAAGCACACAGGGAGACCTCTTAGCTATGTCAATGCATGCACTTAGTCTAGTTAATGTCGTTACTTCAAAATCGAAGCACTGCAAAACAATGCTGGTTCGCGGATGACGTCACTGGAACAAGATCCCTAGAAGAGGTTAAGCAATGGTGGGATGAGTTGAGAGAGGCCTTTCCGCCCCTTGGATACTATCCTAACTCCAAAAAATTCTGGCTTGTTGTCAAGCCGGAAAAGGAAGGCCGCGCGAAGGAAATGTTTGCAGGGACTGGTATCAACATCACCACCGAGGGACGCAAACACCTTGGCGCTACGCTGGGCTCTCGGTCTCATCTTTAGCAATATGTGGGTAGCAAGGTAGAAGATTGGGTGAAAGAAGTGACGAGGTTGGCGGAGGTTGCAAGATCTCAGCCACAAGCTAGTTGCGCAGCATTCCCATTTGGGCTTCGACAACGGTGGACGAACTTTATGAGAACACTGCCGTAAATTGAGAACCTACTGCAGCTTTTAGAGCGTGAAATCTCGGATGTACTTATACCGTCGCTCATAGAACGTAACTGTTCTGAGGAAGAGCGTAGTCTAGTAACATTACCGGTGCGTTTGGGAGGCCTTGGACTCATTAATCCATCTGATACTGCGGATGCGGAGTATTCAGCGTCTGTTTGGGTAAGTGCTCCACTTGTAAGCAAAATAGAGGCGCAATCCCATGAGACCCCAGAACCACGCGACGATCTGCCAGCGTGGAGGCTTAGTCATTCAGCGTCACAATGAAATACGCGATCTACAGGCCGAGCTGCTTGACATGGTTTGTTACGATGTGCAGGTGGAACCGGCTTTACAACCTATTACAGGCGAAGAATTTGCCAGAGGGACTAACCAAGCCCCTGACGCACGCCTCGACGTCCACTGTAGGGGTTTCTGGGAGCGACAGAGGGCTGCTTTTTTCGATATAAGGGTGTGTCAATCCAATGCAGACTCATACAGAGACCTTAGCCCCAAGCAGATTTACAGGATTCATGAAATTGAAAAGAAGCGAAAATACAACTCCCGTGTCACAGAAGTAGAGCAAGGCACTTTCACCCCACTGGTATTTACAACGACGGGGGGAATGGCTGACGAATGAATGCCTGAGGTACCATTCAAGATTAGCCGAGCTATTATCTGCAAAAAAGCAAGAGAGCTACGCCACAACAATTTCATGCCGGGGTCAGGGCGAAAGTGTCCTTTGTAATTTTGCGGAGCGCGTTCCTATGTCTAAGGGGATCCAGAACCCTGAGAAGGAGGAACTTAGACATAAAAGACAGGGATCTGGAAGTAAAGAAGGGTCGAGCAAGTCTTCCTTAAACTCATCAGTTATAGATTATTTTTAAAGTAATTTTTTTTTCTTTTCCGTTGAACGTTTGAAGACTTTGCATTTCCTTTGTCAGGAGACTTAAAGTAAGATATACACTACCTAGACAACACATTATAATTTTATTTTCATAGCCATATAATTATGTAGTTTAGGTTAGTGATATTTTTTCTTAAAAAGAGAACTGTAACTTGCAAGATTTTTTTACTACTTTTTTATACACTTTCATGTTAGATTCTGGGTTGTATGAAGTTACTCAATAAAGGTCATTGTTATGTACTGAATTCAATGCCGTTCAACACTGAACTGGGTAGAAGCGAGCTAAGGCAACTAATACTAGAAATAATAAAAGTATTACCACTGGCGGTTTATCAAATGCGTTACCTTTGAGTGTTTTCAGGCGAAGACCGTCATCTTTCCACAGAGATAAACCAGAGTCCACAGATGATGTTATAAAAGACGAGCTCGAGGAGGCTTTGACCTACGAAACCATTCGCAAAAAATTCAGAGCATATACCGTGAGAAAATGAAGTATTTCCAGGTTGGAGCATTTATTTTACAACATCATTATCAAAAATAAAGCATCAGAAGATATTTCAAGTAGCAGGGAAGTGAAGGAGGGACTTACATAAATTCAAGCCATTTGTAGTGGCGAGGGGGTGAAACAGTTGAGGAAGAAAAGTTCTTGTAACTGAATAACACTGTTTATTAACGTTATACAAAAGGATAATTTATTTATGAAACAAACCAACAAAGTCGGACGATAACTCTGCAAAACATGATCACAAAAATGATTTCTTCACATCACTATGAGGTGAATAAATGATTTATACCTGAAAGATGTCGCCAGTGTGAGCGCGCCTTTGACTACGAAGCAGCCCACCTCTGATATCCAACACAGATGCCAGCCCTGTTGAGAAACCAAAAGCGATCCACCGCCCATCAGGGCTGCAGCAAACATCACGAACAGTACCTGAAGAAAACAAAACAGAACAAATCATCATCATTCATCCACGGGAACATTGAAAGACCCTGAAAAGTATGATCTTTGTAGCCGTCAGAAGGTAACCCATGCACAATTGAATCACTGAATAGCCAACCTTCGTTAGGTTTGAACACGGGGTAAGGACACGGTGATCACTGGATTCCATCCACCAGGAGGACAATCAATTCCTCGATGGCATTGTAAAATGTACGTTGTTTGGTGCCGTAAGCCAAAGTTTTCTTTTTAATGTTAGAGTTTGGTTGTTATTAGCATTTAATTGCTGCAGTTTCCAGCGGTTAGCTTCTACATCAAGGTTAGATAAACATGATATACTTGTGTTTTCTTTACATCGTCTGAGAATTCGCGATGTGGCAACTGTTGAATCGGTGGTGTGGTGAAAAGAGTGGCCATTACGTTCCGGGTTATACTCGACCAGTGGTAAATTTCTAAAGGCAATTCTTTTATTTCATGAACAAATGACATTTGAAATATCTTCATGCAAGTGTAGGGAAAGCGAAATTGTGACTCTGTTGAAGGAAAATAAGAGCTGACTTAGGAAAGCTGGGTCGAATACATCAAGACACGGCTTGTG